TCTATCTATCTATCTATCTATCTATCTATCTATCTATCTATCTATCTTGAAAGAGGGATCATTTAGGACAGAGGCCAAAGATGCTAATCACTTAAGGTGGGGGCAAAAGGATAATTTTGCACTTGTTTCCTAGGCCTATTCTAAATTGTTTGCATGGATTATTTTATTTCATTCTCGTTTATTGCTGAGATCAGTGTTGTCACAACTGTTTACACATGAGAGCCCTGAGACACAGAGCTAAAATTACTTGTCTCTGATTGCACAGTTGGTCAGCTTGAACTGTCAAGGGGACTTTAGAGCCTGAGCCTTATTGTTATTGTTGCCTGCTTGGTCAAATGTTTCCAGTATAAAAATGTCTTCTAAAATGGGAAAGACGTCATTATACCAGGAGATAATTTGCTATGAGAAGTCAGCACCAGGGCATCTGCTTGGAAATGAGTAGAATTCTGAAAATCAGAGTTTTCTTTACATAATTTTGAGAAGACTTAGGATATATATATATATATATTCTAATATATATTATTAGAATATATATATATTAGGAATAGTATATATTAGAATATATATCCTATTATATATATAATATTAATATATATTATTAAGAATATATATATTAGGAATAATATATATTAGAATATATATTCCTAATCTAAAACTCTTTACAAAAATAGACTATCTCTAAGTTTAGTTATCTATAAATTATTTACATAAAACAGCTAATAATCTCCTTCTTGGGACAAGAGGATAAGAATAGAAATAGAGTGTTAACTGCTTTCCCCTGGATGTGTGCATTGGGATTCACATGTGAACTGTGTCATGTGCACTTCATTTCAATATTTCTTTCTGAACCTGAAGGTGAAGCTGTTGTACGGCTTCATTCTGGAACCTCGGCTGTTGATTCAACACTGGAAAGGACAGATTGTTCCTACTGAGCTTGCAATTCACTTGAAGGAAACTAAGCCTGGATTGCTTCTGGCTTCAGTCCTGGGCTTACAGAAAAATGGTAAAATTGGAATTGAAGAAGCAGATTCTTTTTTTAAGGTTTGTCCAGTTAAAAATATAATTTCTCTGACTGACCTGATAGAAACAAAAGGAGAGTAGGGAATAGAACTGAAGTGAATTTTCATTCGTCTTTGAAAGGACAGACTTCTGTATAGTCAGTTTATAATATAAATATACAGATTAAAAGAATGTTTCTGCAGAAAGTTCATGCACACAACCTACACGACCACATGGTGGAGCAATAGCTGTGTTTCACATCTGGCTCAGGATTTATGTGGGGTACCCTGTGTTCAAGGTGCTGTGTGGAAAGGATGAAGACACAATTCCTCAGCTTTTGGTAGACTTCTGGGAAGCTCAGCTTGTAGCTTGTCTCCCAAACATGGTTCTTCAGGAACTCTTCTTCAAGCTTACAACTCAGTACATCTGGCGGATATCTAAGAGGCAATGCCCTGATACCATACCATTGAGAACAGCAGAGGATTTGGTAAGATAATGAAATAGTGCCTTAAATACATACACTGCATGCTGCAATAATGTGTTCTTAGTTTTGTTTTATTTTTGAGAGAGAAAGCTAGAAAGAGAGAGATGCAGATGCTACTGCGTGCCGAGCCTAAAGGTCACTCTCGGGTATTATTCTCAGGAACTGTGTCCATTTCTTTTGAAACAGGGTCTCTAATGGACCTGCAGAATATCAATTAGGCTGTACTAGTTAGCATGAGAGCCCCAGGAATCTTCCCTTCTGCTTCCTCACCACTGAGATTACAAATGTGTACAGTCATACCTGACATTTTTGTCACTTCTGGTACTCAAATTCAGGTATTCATTCTTGTGATGTAAACACATTGCCTACTGAGGCTGTCTCTCTAGCATCTACCTTGTGTTTAATGCTTAGAATGTTCCTGAAGTTACCCACAGTTTACATACTTTCCCATTCTGCCAAGTTTCATCTAAGGCCTAAGCTCCATCTCTGGGATTCACAGTAGAAGGAGAGAACTGACTCCTGACAGTTGTTTTCAAATCTCTACATGTGTTTCAATGCACCCGCAAGCATACACTCCTAGCATACACAAACATACACACACACACACACACACACACACACACACACACACACACATAAATAAAAATTTAAAGACTGCCCCCTAGAAGCCAGGTGTCATGGCACACACCTTTAATCCTATCACTCAGGAGGCAGAGGAAGGTGGATATCTGTAATATGAGGGCCGGCTTGTTGGGGTATCTGTCCTGCCCAGTACCCCACAGCAGGCAGGCCCCAAAGAAAATCACACACAGGACTCCATAAGGTTATAAACTGATTGGCCCATTAGGTCAGGCTTCTTGTTAACTCTTATAACTTATGTTACCCCATTATCTTTATCTACATTAGCCACATTGGCTCCGTACCTTTCTCAGCTGGGCAAGTTACATGCTGCCTCTTCGGTGGTCTGCGCAGGAGTGGCAGAGGAACCTCCTTGCTTCCCAGAATTCTCCTGTTCTCATTGCATCACCTCTACTTCCTGTCTGGTTTTCCCGCCTATACTGCCTGCCTGGCCAATCAGCGTTTTATTAAAATATGATTGACAGAATGCAGACAATTCTCCCGCATCAGATATCTATAAAGTCCGGGCCAGTTTGGGCTACATAGGGACCCTACTCAAATTTCACACACTCAAAATAATGAATACTCCCGTACTCCTCTATTCCCACCATTCAGTGCTACAGCACGTGAAGGATGTTTCCCAGAACACTACCTCACCTGTACTTGTTAGTGGAGGACTGAGTAAAGGGGAGCCTCTCTGAGGAATTTTGGAAGGCCTGAGGCAAGGGGCAGTAGCACCATGCTTCTGTTTCCTGTCAGGGGCAACTCAGCTTTAGTTGTGTTTTGGGCAGTTGTAGCAGCCCTTGCCTCCCATCCTGCCCTTTTTCCTCTTTCAGCCTAGTTGTCACGACTGCTGTGCTTACTCTGCAATGACTGAAAAGGTCACCAGTATCAGTGGGATCATATTAAGACCTTACAGGGATGCTTTGTAATCCCCAAAATGATTTAAATAAAACTAATTTCTACCATTACCTTTAATTCTTTTAAAATATAATTATATGGTTTTTTGTTGTTGTTTTTTGAGACAGGATTTCTCTGTGTAACAGCCCTAGATGTCCTGGAATTAGCTCTGTAGACCTCAAACTCTGTGGGCTCAAACTCACAGAGATCCACCTATCTCTCCTTCTGAGTGCTGGGATTAAAGACGTGTACCACTAACGCCTGGTGAATATAATTGTCTTAAGAATAGTGTTATTCTTTGCTACTAGAAAGCACTTCTGTGGAATATTTTTAAATTTCAAAATGTTAGGAAATAGTTTTTGCAAATTATTTGGTGTGGAAGCAATGAGGCAGCAACCTTTTCCAGGGAAATACATTCTAGAAGTCTTTTTTCCCCCAGGAGAGTATGTAACCGAGTCTGAGATGTGGTACAGGATTTTAATGAGTGAATAAAGAAATTGTTTATTTTTCTGTTATTTTTGGCTTGTGATGCATTTCTGTAATGTTTCAGATAAATGCCTGCAGTCATTATGGCTTAGTCTATCCATGGGTTCATGTCTTAACATCATCTGATTCCTTAGCTGATAAAAGTTACACAGAAGACCTTTTGAAATTACAGGTAAAAAAAAAAGTCTCTTTTACTTTTTAAATATGCAATATATTATAATATACAATTTAAGTATAATATGATATCAAATGGCTTGGTAATTTAGAATATAGCTTTTGGGGGCAAAAATCTATAGTTTATCACATTCAGGAGCTTTGGAATCCTGGGTTCTGCCTAGAATTGCTGACAGATGTGGCGTCTGAGCTGAGAGGCTGGTCTCATTGTAGGTAAATGGGTAAGATTCAACACTGCAACTGACCTCGTTTTTAGGCTACACTTGAAAACACCTGTGAGAAATAAAAGTGTGTAAATATAGACATGCTTTGTTTTGTTTAATGTGGCCTAACACAATTTAGACTTCTTACCCAAGGTACCACTACCATCTATCTTATAAAAAATATGTCCACATACCCAGTTTATCTGACCCCAGAAGAGAATTTTTCTAAAGAATTGTAGGACACAGTTTATGGTATAGGAATTCTGACTGTAACTGTCTCTGCATGTGCTGTGGCAGGTCAGGCTGGGCTAAATGTGTATATCTTGTAATAGTGCATATTGGTCCAAAGACTGAATATAACTTTTGCCTTTCTTTTGTTTGGTTTATTCACTATAGCTGGCTACATATAACAATCAATATTTCATATAAGGGATTCTCTAAATTCACAGATACTCTTGATAAATTCAGGAGCATTGACCACTTGTGCCCTTCATGACTCCCGAGGCCTGATCTCTTAGATGGAGCCTGTCCTGTCTGCACTGCTTTCTTCTCTGTGGCTTCACGTTCAGATGTTGAAGGCCTTGCATGTGTTTCCTTATACCTAATAAATGACCTTTATGCATTTTCATTCTGCTTGATACCTTTAAGCTTTTGAGTATAAAATTCCTGATATAAACTTTGGGAATTGGTGTCAATGTGATTATTATTAATTTTAGAGCCAACTGGTGAGTTGGGGATGGGCTAGGCAAGGAAAGTCAAGAAGCTAGATCATTAGGCTCAGACTTCAGGCTGAAATAAATTCTGTCAAATAAATAAATAAATAAATAAATAAAATCTGTTAAATCACCAGAGTTGGGCATGGTGGCCCATTCCTGTAATTTGGCACTGAGGAGGATGAGGCAGAAGGATGATGAATACAAGTTCAGCCTCATTAATTTGTTAGTTAACCACACAATCTATCACCAAAGAAGATTCTTTCACTGTCTCTTATTTTTAGGTTCTGTGTGACACTGAAACTCCCATGTTATCTGCTCATTTGTTCATTTTATAGCTACTGTCTGAGAATGAGTTGTACAAATGTGGTAGGTAATTTTGGGCCTTGTCCTCCCAGAACACACAGAGCAGTGATGTCGTTAAAATTGTAATTGTACTATGCTGTGAAATTTCAAACTTCAAACTTCAAAGCACATTTATGATCACAGTCAAAGGTATAATTCAGTGATCATTTAAAATCCCTGTAGGCAACAAAAGATGGATTTTTCTGTTACTTATTCCATTCAATTAATCTTTCTCTTTTGACTGAGAAGTTAAAGCCAATACTTAGTATTGAAAAAAGTTTGTTCTTTGCTATCATTTTGTTCTACTTTTCTTCTGTGTTATTTGTCCTATTTGGTGTTTCTGTAGTTATGACTTCATTCGTTTTCTTTATGTGGCATCTTGAATTCACTTATATTCTTCAGGGCAAAGTATTGCTTCTAGTATTCTCTAAGAGGATAGCTTGGTGGACAATAATTATTTTCACTTATTTATAGCATGAAAAGTTTTTCTTTCTCTTTTAATTATGGCAAAGAGTTTTCCTGGGTTTTGCCAGTAGTCTGGGTTGACAGCTGTGGTCTTGTGGAGTGCACTGCACTCTTGTGGCTTTTTTTCTTATATCTTCTTTGTTTTGTACATTTGGTGTTTTAATTTGTTGCTTCATGGGGAATTTTTTCTCTGGTTCTGTTTGGTGTTCTGGGTGCTTCTTATATCTGTTTTGCTGTGTCTTCCCTTAGTTTGGGGAGTTTTCTATAATTCTATTAAAAATGGATTCTACGCCATTGATATGTGATTCTTTTCTCTCATCTGTGCCTGTGCTTCATAGATTTTCTCTTCTCACAATTTTCCTTTGCTTGGAATTTTTGTTTTTAAAGATGGAAAATATACTGATTGAACTTTTCTAAACGTTTTCCCTAGTTATGCTTCTTTCTCAAATATCCATAGATCAGGAAATCTCAGCCATTAATTAAAAAATGACCATCAGAGCTTCCAAAGCTTTCTTTGGCTCCCATTTAGGAGGTTGGAGGTTTAGAATCACCGACAGCATTTCCAAATTGTGGCTCTTTCCCCACCCCCAGTGGGTTGGTATGGTTGTCTGTTGTTCTCAGTTATTATAGGACATATTTGTACAATAATTAGTATAAAATCTGAAAGTTGTTGATAAGTTAGAAAGCTATTATTTGAGAGAACACTGACTAGTAAATACCTTGCTCTATTTCCAGGTTGTCCTGGTTCCTACCCCTTCTCTACCACCTCCCTGTGTACTTGCCTGTAAAAATAGAGAATCAGAGAAATCTACCAAATCAGAGTTGAGGCAGAGAGATCTTGGTAGGAGAAAGGAATAAATAGTATATGTGTTAAGAAGGGGAGGTGGAGTCGATATCCAGTACTGGAAAAAAATTGAAGATGTCTAAGAAACCAATCTCAACAGGATTTTACAGAGTAACAGTAATCTTTTGGCCATTTTTAGTCCAGTGATAGAAGTTTTGTTGAGTATTTATTTATTTGAGATAGTGTCTCATTCTGTGGCCAGGTTAACCTGAAATTCACCATGTGGGTCACAGTGCCACCAAATTCTGGGCTCCTCAAGACTGCCTCTCTCAGTAAAAGGTGTATAGAGTATGATGCCACACCTGGCTGAGACTTCTCTCAGTGCTGAGGCATGCCTGATTAAGTATAGTTTAGTGTTGCTTATTATATTGACTTTTAAATTCTTAGCAATATAGCTAAAAGGAAGTAAAACTTTACAAGTAATCCATTTTGTGCTTCCTTGACTAGTTTCATTTCAGCTCTGGTTTGGTACCCATGCTTTTCCTCTTCCTGCCACATCCATTATCCCATTTAATCAGGAGTCAGTAGAGAAGCAACTTGTGCCTCCCTGTATGTTGGGAGATACTGTGAGTGGAAGAGCCTTACTTTATTTCATCTTTGCTATCTTAGTGCCAGGAAATATTTCAGCTTGGTAAGAAAGGATACCAACCTTATTTTCCTGGTCACTCCTTGGTAGACATCTGGAATAAAATAATCATGCTGATTAAGAATGTATAGTAGATGTTCCAGGTTGTCCTGTAACTCTGAGAAGATGCTGTAGCAAAAGAAGATAGAGTGAAAGAAATTAAGCCATAACTATATCTCTCATATATAGGAAAAGACAAAATAGAAATTATTTTGATAGTAGAATTTAAAAATGCCATAGAATTTAAGAGTAAAAATTAGTGAAGTTCTTGAAAGGAAAAACTAGTAAATCTATGAATATTGAAGTAATGCTTGTGCTCGTCATTCTCTGTGTGGCAGATGTTGTTGGTACAAATGACTAGGTTCTAAATAGTCACATTAAAAAGAGTTACTGTTTATATGGGGGGAGCAGTGAGATACATGCTACAGTATATGTCTAACTTAGAGAAGAACTTGGGAGACTCAGTTCTCTCCTATCATCTGGGTCCGAGAGAATAAACTCAGGTCATCAGTCTTTGGTGGCATGTTTGCTTACCCGCTGAGCCATCTACTCATCCCACAATCACTTTTAAGAAATATATTTAATTTTCTTTGTGGTTACTGTTCTAGTTTGATCCTGTTGCTATGAAAACACCAAAATCAACTTAGGAGAGGAAAAGCTTTATTTGATTTATACTGCCAGATCACAGTGGATGGAAGACAAAGAAGAAGTTCAATAGGAGCCTGAAGGCAGGACTTCCTGTTATTTATTCTATGCAACATTGCCTTCGATCAGGGAATTCACTTAGAGTCAAGGAAACACAACAGAAACCATGATGGATGTTCCTCTCTAATTTGTCCTATGCTCATGTTCAGCCAGCTTTCTTATACAGTCCAGGACCAGTTGCCCAGGGAACAGTGTTGCCCGTCTTGCCCACAGTGAACTAGAGCCTTCCTCATCAATTAGCAATGAAGACATTATGTCATAGACATGCTGCAGACCAAACTAACAAAGGCAGTTAATCATTGAGATTCATATGTATTACGGTGACAGTTAATGCTAACACAGATAGTTACACCTACACACCCACCCACATGTACACTCATTTTATATGCTTCTCATTGAAATTTTGGAAAAGACGGGGAAATGTTAAAAGAAAATAAAACAAAACAGGGCTTTGTCCCACCTCCTCATTTGCTAAACTAATCTCTTCTTCAAACTGCAGTATTCTGCCAGATATCTTCCTAGAAAGGTTTTGTACACTGTGGATTTTACAACATTGGTCATGCTTTGTGTACAATTTTGCCTCAAGACATTTTGGTTCTGTTTTGTTCTCCTTAAGTGACCTTTGGAAATATAATTTTGACAATTCTGTGATGTTCCATAAAGTATGTGCCATAGTTTATTAATCTTATTCCTTCTTGTTAGACATGCAACAACCCACGGTCTTTCAGTGTTACAAGTACACATGCAAAGCATGGTGCATATATCCCTGACCATGTGTTGGTCATATCCTCAGGATAGAGTCCTAATTAAAGATGATTGCTTTGACCTACACAGATTTTTTTTAAACTAGAGCTAAATTTAAGATTATTTAGCAGTTCAGTGCAAGTATTTCAGGGCCAATTCCTGTCCTCTAAAATTGGATTTTCTTTCTTTTTTGTGTCAAAGTGGGATTTTATCATTTTGAAAGATGCTGTATGTTATGTTTTAATTTGGGATGCTTCATTCCGTAATATTTCACTTTTCTGTTCATAGTCTCTCATTTGTGGCCCTTCATTTGATGTAAGTTCCATTATTCCATTTCTGGAGCTGCTCTCAGAAGATACTGTTGCTGGCCTCAGTGCTCAGGTTCTATGCCATACAAGATTACGAGAGTATGAACTGTGCATAGACACATTGCTAGAGAGATGCCCGGAGGCAGTCATTGCATATGCTAATCAGGAACTGAAAGAACAACATTGGGTATGCATTTCAGACTGTGTTCCTAGTCTTGATCCATGATGATAAGATTGGTTAATTTTGTTGACTTATCTACAAAATGAGGACTGTTTATGTTAGTATAGTTTTACAGGACTGTATGTCCAAAGAACTTGCAGTACTTTTAGGTGCTATTAAAATGCATGGGGATGATCCATCTCATCTTTAAAGAGCCCTTATTTCCAGATGAGATCAGTGAGTACTTAAAGGACTGGGCGACATGTATGTGGTGGGGGATACACCTTCCCTGTATTTGGTCTTTGATTTAGCAATTAATAGAGTTTTAACTTTAGCACTTTTTCATTTCTTCTTGCCAACCAAGATAAAAGGACATATCTATGTTTTTCCTTGAAAATAAATGTGTGCATTTGTACCTCAAGTCAAAGGCTTTCCCTTTTGTTTGAGTTTCATCAGAAGCCTAGCTGCTGATAAAGCTCTTGTTGCAACAGAGGTGAGCCATGACCAAAGGAGGTCAAAGGATACATTTTCCTGTTTGCTGTCTCTTGCATGGCCTTCTTTCTCTCATCAGAAATCTAAGGATTAGATGCAACATACTAAAATGTATTCATTCCCCCTAAAAATAGATTCTGTGGTGGAAAAAACTGCTGCCTGATCTTTGTCAGAAAGTAAAGTGTGGTGGAGAGAAACACCAACTTTATCTATCATCTTTAAAAGGTAAAATTAAAATTCTCTTTTTGGATGATTATGAATTTTAGTCTCAGTTTTAAGTAGGACAAGTTCTTGTTTGTCTCCATGATATTAAGTGGGGTACAAAGGTCACGGAAGTCATCTGAAGTGTTTTCAGCTCTCATGTTGCCCCTCACACTTGATTCTCACTCAGCATTTATAGCCACAGAGCTGGTGTTCTTAAAAGTTAACATTTCTGGACTTTTACTTTATTATTTTCATAGAAATTCCAATATTTAAAATATTACAGAAGTTTAGAAGTTTTGCTTTTCAATTTGCTTCATGTAGGAAATTAAGTTTAGTAAACAAAATTGTAAGTATTGAAAAATTTATTATTCTTCAATGATTTACACCTTGAACATGTAAATTCCAGTTTTCTGTAGCTTTGTATTCATAAACTGCTAGAACAAACACTGAGTATTCTGTGTGATTTACTATTTTTAGACTGCAGTATCTCAAGAGCTGGCATAGAGTTTTATTCGTTTTGGGGGGGGGTCAGCCTCCTTATAAGCATTGAGCTCCTGTAGGGAAGGATCTGTGACTATTTGTTGATGGAGTTTCATTTCTTTGAGGTCTTCCTGTTGGCCGCTATAGACCACTAAGAAGAACCCAGGAATGGAATCTTTGGAATTGGATCTGAGTTCCAGCTCTGCCGTATACAATCTAGTTTTTAAATATTGTTAGGTTGATGAGAAGTTCTTAACTGACTATAGAGAAAAATATTGAGTAAACTTCTAAAAAGATCAGGTTGAAGATGGTGGACAGGGACTTACACAACACATTTAGGAAAAAATATTTCTACTGTGATATTATTTTTTGAGCTTTTTATTTTGCTTTGGAAAATTATCTGTGTTGAGAAGGCTTCCTCCCCATCCCATTAAGAACGCTAGTCAGCATCTTTGTCTTCTACCTGTATCACCACCACCCCAGTTATGACAAATACAAGTATCTCCAGATCCTACCAGGTGTCACCTGAGGACAGAATTATCCTAGTTGAGAACCAGTGCACTAATGCAGAGCTATTGAAATGACAGTGAATAGGTGGATTATTTTAAAAAAATTGTTAATGATTTTGAAATAATGAACTATTATTTTTTAATTTATTTTTGTTTACATATTTTTAGGTGTATGAGTGTTTGGTCTGTGTTTATGTATATGCATCATGTATATGCCTGTTGCCCTCAGTGACCAATAAAAGTGAATCAACTCCCATGGAACTGTAGTAACAGACAACTGTGAGCTGCCATGTGGGTACTGGGAACCAAACCCAAATCCCCTACAAGATCAACCAGTGCTCTTAACCACTGAGCCATTTCTCCAGCCCACTACTTTTATTTTTAAAAAGATCTAATATTGTAACATATTGTAAACATAAGGTTTTAAAAGTCAATCAAAATTTTGACAGTGAAATTAACTTTTAACGTTTGGTGAATGTATTTTAGATATGCTGGGGTATTTAAGTATGAGATTTACTTTTTTTTTTGATTTTTTTCAAGACAGGGTTCCTCTGTAGCTTTCAAGTCTGTCCTGGAACTAGCTCTTATAGATCAGGCAGGCCATGAACTAACAGAGGCCTGCCTACCTTTGCCTCCCGAATGCTGGGATTAAAGGCAGAAATAACCACTGCCCGACTTGATTTACTTCTTTCTGGATCATTCTTAGATGATCTCATAGCTGAATAGTAGAATAAAGCAAGTAATATTTTTGTGTGTGCTTAGGTATATGTGTGGTATGCACATATGTGCAGGTGTTTGAACAGACAAGCATATATAGGCATCTGCAAAGATCTCATGTTGACATCAAGTATTTTCCTTGGTTAATCTCCACCTTACAAATTGAGACAGGGTCTCTCTTTGCATCTGAAGTTTTTTGTGTTTGCTACTTTGACAAGCTTCCTCTGGGAATTCTTTGTCTCCTGATTCCCACACACTGAAATTACAGATGAGCTACCAAGCACATCTGGATTTTTATGTTGTGTTCTCATGTCAAGTACTTTTCCCTCTAAGCCACATTCACAGCCTACATTTTTATATTTTATTTAATTGTTTGTTTTTTTATTGTGTGTATTCATGTATGTGCATACATGTTGCATATGCTATGATGCACATGTGGTGGTCAGAAGACAACTTTGGAGTTGGTTCTCTTTTTCTACCTTTTTGTAGTTCTGAGGATTGAACTCAAGAGCTAATGGGTCAAATAGTGATTTAATTCATACAGTTTCTGTGTGATTATTTTGGGGCTGAACACCCGGAAACCAACAAGCGACCTCCCACTAAAAGGTCACATACATTTTACCTGCTGAGACATCTCACAACACCCTTCTGCCCCCTATTTTATTATTTTCTCATCTTCATTTTCTCCAACAGAACCACACACCATTTCTGTTAGTATATTCTCTTTGGATTAAATAAATAAAAACATTAAGGGATTCAGGAAGGAAACCAAATGAGAGGTTAAAATACTGTACAGATTTAAGGGGTTGG